TCGTCGTCTACCGTCCTATGTCTTCGTCGACGTTCGCGAAGGCCTATGTCCCCGGTCCGGATTTTGACTTAAGCTTTGTCCCTGCATCCATTGGTCCATGTAGGTAGTCCTTGAACCCTATTCCTTCTTTCAACATTCCGTACACTTCTAGACCCTCCTTATCCACGGTTTCTTTCCCTAGATTATGTTCTTCTCTCTCGGCACAAGCAACAGATATCTTCTCCTTGAACCCCTGTAGACCCTCCGTTTCCAGCGTTTCATCTTCGTCGATGCCTAACCCCTTCCATACGTCCTCTACAACCTTGACCCATTCCGTGGGTTGTCTACCCCTCTTTTTGTTTGCCCACTTCGCCCCCCATACTCTTCTCGGCAACCCCTCCTCTCCCATCCCGCACATGCGATACTGGCGGGGGGGGGTGTACTCATAGTCGTGCATGCCGTAGTCGCTAGGGGGGGGGGGGGGGGGGGCGTACTCATTTGTTGCTTGCCGTAGTTATTTGACCATTGACCACGCGTCCCTTTCGAGACGGAGCACCGTTCCTACCCCTACTAGAGACACCACCAACAGTTGGGAGCTCTTTGCGTTTCTGCCACAAACTACATAAAAATTTCTTGCACATCTTATCCCCGTCCTCTAGGGCCTCTTGTGCCCACCATCTATCCCCAATTATCGCGATCGTTTTTTCGCTGTTGTCTAATTTACCAAACTTGTTCATGTCACACCCTCTCTGTCTCATTTCCTCCTCGAGATCCTCTCTTTCCTTCCTGTACAACTCACACTCCCCAACTATGTGGGGTCTACTCTCCTCCGATTTGCCACATGGACATGTGTGTCTATCCTCCTCTCCCTCTCTCCTACGGCTGGTATACCTCTTCCTCCGTCGTTAGGGGGGGGGGGGATATCAGGGTAAAGGGGGGCAGGGAAAAGGGGGGCAGGGAAAAGGGAAGGAAGAAACACAGCAGTGTCGAAGAGGGCGGTAGCGAAACAGAGACTCCTTTCTCACCTATCCCCTCCTCTATTGCTACCCATCTACCCTTTCCCACTCCTCCTCTCTCCCATGACCTGTCCCTTGTCCTCAACCTCCCCCCCCGCCCCCGCCCCACATATTTCTGATTAAATCCCACTGTTTTCCATTGCATGCACACGATACTTTTGGTATTTGCCCAGCGCGTGTGTGGCGGTCACCTCCGGGGTAACCTCGAGCGGTTCGAGGATGGACACGGCGAGGGCGTACTCCCCGTCGTCCAACGCCCCGCCGAACCGGATCAGGGCCTCGTCCAGGACGTAGCTCGCCTCGCGGTAGCCCTCGTTGACGATCACCTCCGTGCACCCATTGAGGCGCTCGATCTCGTACACCTCGCCCTTTATCTCGTGCGTCGTCACCTGCACCCCCGAAAATGCACAAACACGGAGGCAGAGGTTTGGGGCACCGTTTTGGACAGGAGGAGGCGTTCGGGGGGGTGCAGTTAGGCAGGGGGATGGAGAGAGTTAGCCGGAGATACGCTCAAGGCACAGAGTGATTCCGTAGGGGTTGGAGCTTTCAAGGGAGAAGTGGGTGGAGGTTGCACTAGCTGTAGTCCACGCTGTTGGTGGCCCCATCAAGACCCACGCGAATTTCAATGGTTTCCCGCGCATACTGATTCTCAATGGCACCATTCCACGCTGTTTTCGAAGTCAACAGTCTTACCATCACCACTCTACGCTTAACAGCCGTGTGCTTCTTCTCTGCTCAAGGTCAAGCTGTTCTGGTCGCAAACACGAGCAACCTCAGGTTTTCTGCAGTAGCTGTCAAGGCTAGAACCACTGCTGTTGCTAATCAACTGGCAAGCGAATGCGCAGGTTTATACAGATCGGCGCTTTGGCGGTGGTGTGATCTCGAGGTTGTGCGGACGTGCAAGGGCAGAATGATCTGCATTGAGACGGCGAGTGATCGATCCAGTACAAGGAAGAACCACATCATCACACGGTATAACCTTGCAGGGGAAGAATCGGGCGAGTCGAAAGTAGGACAACAACTCGGCTCCCCTCCAGAATGTGCTACGAAGGACATACCAGAAGACTGATCACGGCGGGAGGGCTAGGACCAGGATCAGGGTTGGGGCTAAGGGTTTTGTTTTCGTTCGGGGTAAGCCTTGCGGTTCTTGCCTGGTCCGGGGCGTGTATGTTGTACCACACGCACAGAGCACCCCTGTTCTGCGCCACCACCACGTCGCTGTCCGGCACCCACTGGACGTAGGTGCAGTAGTTCAGGAGGGTCCCTCGAGTCTGCGTCCGCAGGTTGTACCTTTTTTTTTTCGCAAGAGAACCAAAGACTGTTGTTTGTGGTTTGTCATCACGGTACAAGAATCGAACGTTTCGATGTCGCTTGCGTGCCCCAGCAGAAAAAACAGGGGTGGGGGGTTCCTCACGCCCTGGGACCGCAGATTATACCCTTGATCCGGCCACATGCTGCAACATTTTGTGCTCGGGAAGCCAACCACGTTCATAGACAGACAAGCTTCCACTTCGTTTGCCGAGGAAAAATGGTGTCGCTTTTAGCTTTATAGGGGTCGGACCAGGCCTGGAAAAAGGATCACGCGTGTCCACCGTGCGACTGAACATGTCCCGTCAGCGTATTTTCGTTGTTCGGGACACCACTGCTGTTTGTCTGTAAGTGCGTCTTTTTGCAGTTCAACAATGTGCAAAGAGTGAACCAGAGGTGAAGACAAGATACTCTCAACAACGACGACGACAGGCAGGTCAACAATTAGAAACGTACGACTCTGTAACCGTACATTTCAACTAGAGTCCACGTTTTACTCACAGATGAAGACGTCGCCGCCTATCTCTGAAGAGGAGGAGGTCGGCCCTGGAGTTGAGCTCTAGCCAGTCGATTTTGCTATCGTGGGACACCGAGCTCGTCGCGTTCGTGACCAGGTCCTGGTCGTGACGAGTCAAAAGAAGACCATCGGGCGAAGAGAACGAAGAGACCAAAATAAGGTACACGCTCTGCCTTCAGTATTGGCACGACCGTCACAGGTAAGTAACGGGTCGCGTATCATGAAACCGACGGGATTGTCATGTTGCGGTAAGTCACACGAAGGTTGAGCAGGAGCAGGGCTATAGCAATGTGCCGGCACGATCCACAACGCTCACGGTTTGGCAAAAAAACAACGGCACGGTGACATGACTATTATACGTAGTGCTTCAGACACCGTCGTGCATATTGAGATCACAGATACCCTCTCGACAATCATCATCACATCGTGTACCTTGATGTTGATGGTCTGTGCGTCCAACAGGTAGGCCACCGTTTTTGTCCCCTCCGTCACGTTCTGTCAGAGAGAAACAAAAAAAAATGCACACAAAACACACCACGAACTTGTGAGACACTGACTGCGCCGCAGCTCTATTAAAAAGCGCGCGCCGTTTTATCCCCCGATCGAGCCCAACGCACTCGCTGTAGACCGCATCTCTACCAACGTAGACTCACCACGACATTGGCCCCGAGCCTAAAATAGCTGTGCACAGATGAAAACACTCGGTTCTCTATCAAGGATATATCTCGATCCTGTCTCGACCAAGATGCGAGAACGTCGGCGGCGGTTGGAATCGAAAAGACTAGCCCCCCCCCGGTCGACGCAGAGCCCGTGGTCTGAGGACTTCGGCCGCCCGTGATCATTGGGCACATACGCAAACACCGTACCCTCCTCTGAAGACTAACGTGACATGCATTGATTGATTAAGCATACACACAATCACAAACTGATGTCTTTTCGTTGGTCAACAGGGTACCGAGGTCATACACTACTACTAAAGTCCGTTCGTTTGCCCACTTGTTTTCTTTCACCTGTCTCCTCCTCGCGAGGTCCCGGTCACCCCGGCGGGGGGGCTTGTCGCTCAAGCACACGGACAGCAGGTGGGCGCTAATGTGCTCCGTCCTCACGGCACCTAGAATCTGAGATCACGAGTGGGTTTTGGTAGCAAGCAAAGGGGGTGTGTAGGGGCGGGTCTGGGGGTCGGCATGTTTATGTGCGCTTCTTCTTTTCTAGCACGGTGCTCGGGGATCCATCTGTTCGAGAATTTTGTCTCAAGAGTGAGTGAGACAGAGAGAGGAGGGGGGATGAAACAAAGAGAGTTAACACGGTTGATGGGCAGGACGCGCGCAAGTCGTAAAGCTGCGAGGTTCTTGGGCTTCAATTGAAAGAGCAAAAAATAAACTGATCGGGGCCGAAACGGGGAACGGAAATGCCCTGGGCAGAGGGACAAGCAGTTCGGGACGAGCGACGTATTCTCGCAAGTCACGAACAAGTTCTTGTTTCTCGTGCAGGCGGGCGGGCAGTGGGCTTGTTACCTACTCCTACTAGAAAGGGCAAGCTAACCTCTTTTTGATCTCGCGAAGTTGAGTCTTCTCGTTGTGGGTATTTTCGCGCTGGGTTTTCGTGTGGCTTCCAACCGGTGCCGACAGAGGGGCATGCCAAGCCCTAACACCGACACCCCCGTACGGGGTCGAAGAGTCTTATCGCAAAATAAGGCACCGAGCTGTGTGTGTGTGTGTTTCTTTGTCATTGTAGTCGTTGCGTTCATAGAACACCTCCCCACCACCGTCTAACTCTCCGGCAACCGAATCGAAAAGGTGACCAAACGCCCCCCCCCCCCCCCCTTGGCCCCCTCATTTCGGGCGTACTCCCCAATGGTCAACTCCCTGGGGTGGTACACCCGGGGTGCCCAGGGAAAATCCAAAAAGAACTTTTCGGGGGGAGGGGGTGGCGCCGAAGGCGAAACCCAAGTGGCGCTGCCCCCCAAGCCCCCCCCCCCCCCCCGGGCACTGGGGGGCCGGCACGGG